TATGCAGGTGCGTGGCAGCAAGAAAACTCCGGTTTTCCAAATTAATTTCTCCAACGTCAGGTGGAGTTTCACATCCCTGCCCTTCGCTGATTCTCTCCATCCTGTCGTCCCCTAGGTCTATGGATCCCGGTATCCATCCTCGAGGCATCTTGGAAGGCTTCCAATAGAGAATTGAACCGTTCGTAACTGTTGAACGTGAATTACGGACATCTGTACCATAGAGCAAGTTTATACGTTTCCCTTGAAACTAGTAGATGTCGGTTTGAGGGTGTGATTGAGGGTTTGCAGGTGAATGAGATTGAGCAAGCAGTTGAAATCAGGTCTGGTATTTCACGGTACAACCTCTCGTTTATAAATATTTAATTTAGCACTGGGAAAACAACACGAGAGTGGGCGGATGAATTGGAAGGGTGGGAAAACGCTAGCTGAAACTGTTAGTGTTTCGACCAATTTGAATTTTCGTAACCGCCCTTTATTCACTATATATGTCACCATCCTCCATATATACCATATATACCATCATCCAACTGATGTATGGTTCTTGGTTTGACCAATCCATGATTCGTGTACATATGGATGTACTTTTGGTTGAGCAACGCTCTATTTCGATCATAGCAATGTATGTTTTCATTCAATGTTTCACGTGTAAATAGTCACGTCATTCAGTTTACGTGCCTCCAGCTATTTTAATATCGCTCCATGAAAATTGAACGCATAATTGGATGCAGTCGGACATCGTTCGTATTTGCGCTTCATACCGAATTGCGAGGGAAGACTGATGGGCTTTTGTTCAGTGGCAACAGTGAACGCCTGTATCAGATAATAATTAGTCGAATATTAAAGTCGCTCTATTGAAATGCAATCCGGTACTGGTTGTAGCGTCAGGAAAAAAATGAATTGTCAAACCGAGGGATCATGTTTTTCATGATTCATCTCAATAATTGATTAAACTCAAATATTTCCTGATCACTGAATTTTTAATGCCAATTTATTGATCAATTGAGAATTTGATATTTCAAAAACCGATTGATTTATGAATAACGAGTAAAAATGCTAATGATTTGTAGTTGGAAATTTTTTAAGCTTTTTACGTGAAATTTCAAGACTAATTTTTCAGGGAAGTTGAAAATTAGTTGTATTACCTTGAGCGATTGAGTTGCAAACAGTAAACCACCGGTTTCTACTAATCCTGGGCGACTCCTTTGCTCGTCCCCACCGCGGGGTCTAACTATGCGGGGAACGTGCGGGCTAACCGACCCACTACCAGGAACTTACCCCAATTGCGGCCGCGAGCTCCAGTAACTATTGAACACGAGTCGTGACGTGCGTTATAGGATGATTCTATAGTACAGCTTCCTCGAGTCGCTCCTCATCCCGCAATTGTGCATGTTTTGAGATCCAGCATGCATGCCACTGCTCATCTTCGAAGGGCGATCGATCCATCGGCCGATATTCCACGAGGAAAGATCACCCAGGTATTGATATACATATCTGGCATGTGGCGCACGTCATCCAATTGACAGAGTGCTGATACCATAGGTGAGAAGAGAAAATCCCCAGGGGTTTTCACCGGACATCAAAAAACCCGGGGTTTTCGAATACTCTTGTGGTGATTTTTAAATAAATTCACACCAACATTCACGCCAGCAACAAAGCAGATGCTACTGAATTCACGAAACTCTTTATCAAAATTTTTTATTTTATTGGAATGCAGCCGTATCAATCACGGATTTGAGGAGATAATCGCGCCGGGGCTCTTTCTACGCGGAATTTTTCGAGCGATAATTGCGTACTTTAAGTTGGTTGGGATAACAGGGAAGTGGTGGCTTCATATGGATAAGTAAACGTAATATTCGTGTTTGAAAAGTTTGATACTGTGTGCGTGGTTTTTGACGTTAGAATAATTGTCAACATGAAAGCCGAAGAGGAATGGAGGACCGAGCGGAAGTTTCCTCCAACCATTACAATTCGCAAATTTATCGTATGCCGAGGTGAATACGTGAAGTGCATTATTTCCAGCGTTATGTTGGTCCCCGTGAGTTTCGTATTATTCACTATCAGAACATCGCCCGCAGACCTAACGCAAAGTTCGCGACAGCGTCTGAGTAGTTTATGAATGCCTCCGGGTGATTGCGCAACCCTCGGAGGTGTTTATCGGAGAAGCTGGTTGCCTTCCCACATAGCTGTCCACCAGGTCCTCTCATCTGTCGGATTCTCAACGCCTTCATGGCTTCGACCTCCGCTGGACTCTCCACGGATCCACGGATCGCGGATTTTTTTTTTTCTGCCAATTTTTAGTCACCGGGATATTCCAAACAATCGATTGTTTTTCCGGCTAACGAGGTCGGGTGGAAAAAATTCCAAATGAAAGGGCGAAATAGGTAGCAGACGGGAAAGAGATTCGGGTGTGGAAAATTTTTATTTATTTTTTTTTTCAATTCGCCCGAACGAAACCCTGCGCTGCCGCATGGTCAGCGATTGCCCAGGCTCGGTGATTGTATTTGAAAGGTTTGGGAACTTTATTCATTTTAGCGGATTTTTTTTTTTTCATTGAGTTTCAACTAGTGGGGCAATGAAAGTAGAAAAATTTCATGCACACAAAAAAAGTTTTCATTTTCAGGGACTTGTCCTCTACTTTCTGGAGTGGATTGCCAATTTGATAAAAAATCTATTCACAGTTGATGTTGCAATTTTTTTCAGACTTCGAGATAAATTTTATAGTGCACTTTTGAAAACTAAAGGTCGAGGAGGCGATGGTTTATCGATGTGAATGACTCATTGTTTCTAGTGGATATGAGTATCTTTATCGCAGATAGAGAATGGTGTAACTGATAAGCAGCGGCATTGGTGAGCGCACGTGCGGTTGATACTTTTATGACAAGAATTTCCCAAGGCATTTTCCCATTTGCCTGAGCCGCGGAGGGCGAGTTATTCGACATGTATTAGGGTATCGATAGATATCGCTTTTGCCTTTGAGGATCACGGCGCAAGTTTCTCATATCCTGGGCTCTGGCCTCTAACCGCCAATCGATCATCTGCGCAATTATTTCCTTTGAGAATACATCACAAAGCATGTGCAAACCTATACAAGGCGATGATATTGGAGGATACAGGAGTGCATTCAGGGTATCAACAATTTACGGGAATTTGAATAGCCTCCTTGGATGATGTGACGATAATATTTGTGAGAGATTTTCAATGGACGTATACGAAACTGCAAGAGGTGTCCAATTAATTAACGCCCCGGGTAAAAAAAAATTGTGATCGGAATACTTTTTCCAAATTTCCAAAAATTTTCTGGAAAACTTTCCAGAAATTTTTTTTTGAAACAAAAAAATATCGGGGACGAAACAATTGTATTTCTGGAAAATGTTTTGAAAAATTTTTCAAAAATTTGTTTCGGAAAATGTTTTTTATAATTTTCTAGAAATTTCTGCGAATATCATTTTTTTAAAATGATACTGTTGTTTTCTTACTTTTTCAATTTTTCAATATTCTCAAAAAATACGCCATCCAAATTATCAAAAAAACTTTTCAAAACCTTTCTCAAAAATTAAAAAAAATAAAAAAAATTATCTGAAAAGTTTTCCAGAATTTTTTTTTTATTTGGAAAAAATATTCCGATTACAATTTTTTTCCCCGCGGCATTACTTTCATAAAATGCGATAACTCTTTCGATGAGATGGATAGATGAAATAAATTCTTTACGCGCTTTGATAATGCAGAACTTGGATAAAGTTATTCCCGGAATTGAGTTTGAGAAGAGATTGTATGACAAGGTAAGTTGACTATAAACGTGAGGGATCAAATTAATGGGGTTGACTCGGTGTATAGGAGATAGAAATCAAAGTGATTAATTAGATCGTTCATCTCATTCTCTCCTCCCTGGACGGATTCAGTATGTACCACCCGAACTCAAGGACAAGCAGTGGGAGGGACAAGCGGAGTACGAACAAATACAAATCCGTAGGTAAATTGAATGGCGAAATGGTATTCTCGACGGGGCGTCTCAGCCGATATTAATTAGTCTCCGGAGTTAATTGGCCGTCTCATTTTGGCGGACGTATCGGTGATAGCAGGTACTGGACACTATTTGCAAAACAGAGATTGTGTCCATAAGTCAGATAAGAGGACAAATGGTGAAGGTCGAGATGATGCTGCTGGAGGTGAATTGATTCTCTTGACCGGTGTGATAAGAATCGAGTGATCAGTTATTTCGTTTTCACGGGACGAATCGCCGACTGGATTTCTGGGTGATAAATTCCACGGGTGATAAATCCCTCGGGACAATTGATAACTGATGCCTGGACTCTTTGGATTTACAGAGGTTGATGGCTGTGAAAAAAAAAAGGATATTTGATATTCTCTGGTTGTTGAGGGAAAAAAGATTGCTGCGGATCGGAAAGATCTATTGGTAAGGAGTGCATCCGCGCTCACATTGGAAATTCATCTGCGCATCTGAGAGTCAAGTCCACAACGAATGGGGCTGGATTGAATTGGAAATGAGATCGGTCTGAGGAGGTGGAGGAGCTTGAATTTATGTTCGATCTCGAGACGAGGAGGTGAGCGGCTGCTGCAGATGAGGGATTGAAGAATTAGGAACGAAATTAACCGTAAATTGGGAGATTTATCTCATTACTCTTTTTTTCTTCAGCTTCTTGGGAGTGGAATATGAAATAATATGAGGAGAAAGTGTGTCGGCAAATCTCGGGAGCATTCCTTGATGTTCTCATATATCTTCAGTCATCCGAGTACTCGGTGACATCACGAGAGACGGTCGAGCGTGAATTATTAGTTCCATCAGAGATGTTACTGTCATACCAACGAATATCCTGTTATTACACATTTTCATGATAGCCTTGGGGAAGGTAGTTGTATTTTATCAATGTTGAGGGATATTCTGGAATCGTGACAGCGGATTCGGAACGAACGGTCGGGAAATTCAGTATTGAATTTTGCAGCCATTGATTGGCTTCCGCACTATCAATTCACCTAGACAATTCTAAATGATTATTGTTTATTTGACTATGGGTATAATTCGTTTCAATAATGTACTGAATTTAAAGCTGTATAGCTCGAAATAAGATTTATTCAGATGCCACCTCAAGGATCAAGTAGTCCAAGTCTGTCATATTCCGGCAGAAGACTCGTCAGACGCTTCCGGTAGTCATCTCTCTGATAGAGTCGTTTTATTCCGTCAACATCATTTATCAATGTATCCACAGAGACGACATTGCATGACGAAGCGTGCATGATAGGCTCAACCAGACAGGTGGATATTGCACTGACGAATATCCTGTCATCGTACATCTTGCGAAGTGCCTCCAATGACGGAGGATCAGCTGTACAATTCAGATGCTTCATCGTTTTCGATAATTCCGAGTGATATTCTTCTAAGAGGGAGAACTGGAGGTCTTGGACAGCTTCTGTGGTACTCGTTGATATGAAGTAACGCAGATCGACTACTGGAGAATTGTAACATGCGTACTGGAAGTCCACCTAGTTATCGGAATATTGGGATCAATTGAGGGTAATTTGAAAAATACTTCTGCTTTCTCGAAAATTCTTCGCATATCGAATATCCATTCGCGCTTACCAATGCAACTTTATTAGGATTGCCTGCTGCATCGTATGCAAACATGATATTCAATTGACTACAATCCCCATGAGTGAGAACAGCGAATTCATTTTCCCATGAACTAAATGCCTTTCGTGTTTTCTCGAATACGACTTTCGTGAGGTTCTTCAATTTTCTCGCGTATCTGAAAATATTCACGTAAATACTAGTTCTGATCAGTGTAGCTGTGAATTGAAATATAAATCTTCATCAGACGTACTTTGCGTCGAGCTCCTTCCACTCTGCAATCGTAATGGCAAGTGACGTCAAAGCGTTAACGAGAAAATCGGCGGAACTATCCTCTTCACTGCTAAAGAGATTATTTCTAAATTGCAGCTTGTATTCAGGATTCTAAAATTATGTCAATCAGTGAATACCATTAAAAAATATATTGCAGTTCACAATGATTCTTACCTTTTCAGTGATTACCACAGAGGCTGCGTGAAATTGCGCAAGACTACGAATCGCTATCGATGCATGTTGTAAATCCAATCCGGTCGCTCGGTTCGCTATTGAAAAACCGAGAACGCCCAAGTCCTCCATAATAGCGAAATATGGTTTTTCCGCATGACTGTATAACAGTTTCGCTATTCGGGGTGTGTTCATGACGTTTTGCATTCTCCTAAGTGGACCTGCCAGGATGTCCATCTCGTTGAGGTACACAGCATGAATCTATCAATAATAACGAATTAATAAAACTTTACGGAATTAAACATCACAACTGCCTTCATCACTCCCTTTGATAGATTACCCATTGGCTCATCTGTTCATTTTCAAAAGTGTGCATGTGCTTCACGAAGAGTGATAATTCCTCTTCAACTTCATTGCCATTTTTTCCAACTCCATACTTGACCAATAGCCGACTGACTTCACTCGTGTAATTGTCGCCTTTTGCACCGATTCCCTTTAAATTCACATCGATTACGCGGATAGTGTCAACCTGTTTAAATTCTCGAACAATTTTTTCAATAAGGCCAGCATCAATCCGCAGCTTTGACATTTTATGACCGCCGCTCTCGAACGTCAAGCGCAGATTGAGTGACAGATCTCAGTAACTCGTGCTAAATGGGGGCACGATAATAATTACTCTGGATTGCACAATTCAGCAAAATCCTAGTGGAATTAATGAAACATCAATAGAGATGTGGTATGAATAAGATAAGATAAACTTCCATATTTCTTATGATCATGTTTATCCAGCCGATAATGGCGTTTGACCTTGTGTGCGAATGTATTCAATATTCCACGGAAACAATCGGGGACGTACACTCTGTGGTATGACAATGCAGAATGTATAGCTTTACTTCCAGTATGCAATCATGCTTCGCAAATATTATTACAGCTGTCCAGAATTTGCATGGAATTGACGATTAATTCTATAGGCATGTACCTTCAGTGAAAGGTGGATTATGTGTGGTTGTACACGGCAACACGAAAGCCTTTTTTTAATTAATTTACGGTTGTTAATGCAAAATCTTTCATGGTCGTATGGCCGAACCAATGAGAGACTTGCGTCGGGGGAAAAATAGAAAAATTATGTGTTGGGAATAATCCCGGGTCTGGATTAGTCGGGATAAAGGAGAATTTTTTAATCTTCAGGATTTGCTATTATTCACATTTTTCATTAACATATTTTTATTCTCATGTTATTCAAATCTCACAATGAAAAAGTTACAACGGAACCAGTTATGGCGGATGGCTAAATTATTTCACCAGAACCTTCGGTGTAGACTTTATCTAAAATTAACCATGTTTGTGCAACATTTGGGTGCGCGGTTATGTCCACATTATTAAAGCCTTCGCGGTGGGAATGTCAAAGTATTTTACGGCTCAGTTTCTTCGTTGTCTATTGAAGTACCGAATAATATTCTTTGAAAAGTAATGGCTAAAAGTCGCATTCATTAATACAATCAGGAGTAGGTCAACCACACAGCAAAAATTGTTAGAATTTTTTGGTAAGCCATAGTGCAAGTTAATGCTATTCTCTGCATACGAACGAAATTTCAAAGGAAGCACATAAATTAATATTGAACCAGAAAACCGTAGCTTTTCACATATGTACCATTGATTTCCCAGAGTAGAAATGTTTTTTCATGTTCGCGAAAGCATTCACTTGCGAATTGGGTTTTCTTCCCATTCAATTTGAGTTATTCACGGTCCACTATATGATTAAATCCTGACTCATTTTCTCCCACTTAATTTCATCCTGCGAATAAACGCACAGAAAAATTCTCCACGCTATATAATACTGTAAGAAAATCGGTAATTATTCCACAGAATCAATCACGCATTTGTAACATATTTATTCAGTCTAAAAACGCTTGAATTCCATAATAATAAAGAACGAGAGAATGATTATAATATTTACACTGAGGTCGAACGACCTACTGACGTATGCAAAGATGTGACGTTAATAGCATGACATAATGTGGTAGTGCTGTCATGTCGGTGCGTAATTGTACGGTTCTGAAATGTACGCGGAATTGTTAAGGAAAACTACAGATGCCGTAACATGCATAATATTGAAAAAGTCCTAGCAAACTGACAAGTGCAATCGAATACTAATAATGAATGAAGAAAAATCTCCAATTAACACGTACGAAAATAATGAGAATTTTTTTTGGATTTCGACTCATTGATGTTGAAACGCTTAAATCATGAATTCAATCGCTGAATGAAGAATCTGCCGATGAAGAAGGTGAAATAGCTTTCGCAGTATCTGAAACTCTCCTAAGCGGTTTACTCCCACAGAAAGTGCCATGAAGCTTGCGTGTAATCTCGCGAGGCTACGAATGGCCAGTAAGGAATGTGATAAGTCTAAGCCGTTCAGGTGATTTCCCATTGTAAGACGGAACTGCAGATCCTCTATAATCACCAAGTAAGACTTCTCGAGAGCAGTCTATGGGATTGCAGTGCGAGATCTCGACTCGTGCATCCCCTTCAGGAGATCTGTCTTCATCTTCGACTTGTTGAGACATCAGTTTTTTGTCAACACGACATTAATCCAGTTTTATTCAGAAAATGATAATGAAATGGTGGCGAGAATATTCTCTTCGATTAATTGGCGAAGTATTACAATATTTACTATTTTTTCTGTTTGAATATTAATATTGGAAAACGGTGGACGTTTGTGACCCAAAGCTATCAACTCATGTTTTGCCCGCGTTTGCTTGCCTGCATATCCAATATTCGAGATAAATATTGGGTGCTATACAGGTCTTGTGCAGAATCATTCATTTTTTTTTACTATTTGATAAGTTACCGCGAACATAGTCGTATCGATTTTTAATCCATTCGAAATTCGTGATGAATGGTCGTGAGGCAAAAATTCACCGCGTAATTACTGAAAGAAAATTCTTTCATATTTACGATATCGCGATCTAGATCGGAAAGTGATGAGTTCAACTAATGGAGAAAGCAAGCTTTTATCAATTTCGAATCTCGTCAAACAATGGTGAAGCATTCTCAGTTTTATCTGTCGATAACGGTGAGATATCGAGATTAGGCATTTTTCGTTAGTAATTTTATCTCAGGGAGTTTTTCAGCTTGAAATAAGTGATAATATTACATCACGATGAAAATCAGTGTTCACGGCAATGACACCGCAGAATATTTGCTGATAATGAAAAATATCGTGCAATCAATAATTACTTCCGTAATATCCCGGGTAATAAAAATTGTAATCGGAATATTTTTTCCAAATTTTCAAAAAAATTCTGGAAAACTTTTCACAAATTTTTTTTTTTCAAAAAAAAAGGTAGCAAAATAATTGTGTTTTTGGCAAATGTTTAGAAAAATTTTCGAAAAATTTCTGAAAAATTTTCTAGAAATTGTTTGAAAATTTGAAAAAAATATTCCGATTACAATTTTTTTTTTCGGGATCTTAACTCATATTGGCAATAATCGATAATCATAGGAATGAGATCAGTCGAGGAGGCCCATGGCTTCCCACTTTGGCAATCTCCTGCTCATGGTCTCCTTATACTTGGGATTCTCGTACGCTTTGTTATTGAACGACGCCTCATCCTGTCCCATGATCTCATCGAGGTTCTGAGCTTCCTTCTTATCGACGAGAACTATCGGCAGGATGGTGCAAGCAGCGAGCATACCGTACACCTCCATCCTATATACGGCTTCCTTCAGTTCATCCAAGCTTGGTGGCTCGACTTTACAACCGATCCTCCGCATTGTCGCAGTTAAGACTTTGAGGTATTCGTCTATGAGATGATCCCGGTGACTTAAGAGCACAGTCTCCGATGGGCTTGTATTGAGAAAATAATTGAGATCAATTGCCGGTGAACCGTAAACGCAAAGTTGAAAATCCACCTAAAATCAAATTACAAGTCTTCCGATTATTCTCATTAATTGATTGACATTCATAATTGATTGATTACCCTTGTAGATGAGATAGCACATTAATAATCGATTATCAATGAAAACTTTTAATCCAAATCGAATCTGTGGAAGCGAATCGATTGCTATTAGGTTATCGATTTAAATATTGACGTTCGATAGTGGGCGCGAAGTTGGAAGATGTGAGAAGATCTCCTGCATTATGAAAGTGTTATTGAATCAATGATGAATCTACTCGGGGAATAAGTGAACAGCACGAGTTAGTGATGGCTAACTTGAATACTCGTATTTAGAATGTCGTAAAAGTCGAGAGTGCTGACTTTGATGCAGCAAATACTGGAAACAGGTAAGGTGGTACTATCGAGTCAAGAAATGGCGGTGCACGAAAACGAAATGTTCGTTTCAACAGCCCTTCTAAAGTACAGTACACAGTTGGCAGAATCGAAGTCGAGACGAGTTCATTGAATTATTCACGTAGCATGACTTTACCAACCTCCTTTCTTCGTTCTTTTCAATCCTCTCTTGGAAAGATCACGTGCGTAGCACTCGAGCTTTTTCCCGTCTTGCTTATGAATTTCTCGAATGGATAATGAATATGTCTGAGTTATGTCAATTGTAATGGAATCTAATGGCATCTTGGATGATCTTACTGGAGGAAATCATGTACTCCGACCACTTACGAAAATGTGCCTCGTGACTTTGCCATTGTCGTCGTAGGCAAAGAGCATGTTGTTGACCCAGAAATCGCCGTGATTTATCACGTTGAAGTCAGATTCATTGGGGATTCGACAGTTCGATGCTCTCTCATATACGACATCTGCCACTTTGGCAATCTTATCGGCGTATAATGTACCAAGCTTCGGCCAGTGTTCCACAGCTCTACCGAGACTCTTCATACCGTTCGTGAAGAACGTTCTCATTTCCGGTGGATTGTCAGTGTTGAAGATGCCTCTGTTATAACGGGTCTTACATTCTGGTGACTAGATTAAAAAAAAATTCATCTTCAGCACTCATCAAGCTGCTCATTTCTTATTGATACAGTTTTATCCATCTGCCTGTTACTGACCTTTTCATAGACTGCAATGGAGCTAGCGTGGAATTTAGCTAATCCTCTCACAGCCAGGATACAATGGTCGAGATCTAAACCGGCTTCTCGATCGGCCATACGGAATCCCAGAGGCGCAAGATCCTCGATGACTAAGAGTGGAGGATTTTTACTCTGTGTATAGAGACATTTTCCACTTATCTTAGTCTCCGGCAGGAGGACCTGCATCTCGTGAAGTGTTGTCGTCATCATCTGGATTTCAACCCCGAAGAGATCAGCCTGTTCGACCTATTTTCAAGGGAAAAATCCAGAATTTTTTAAATTGTCAGCTCGTGACAACGCCTCTGAGGTAATCGCCGTAAATAGATGAAATGCTCGAGATGTATAATTAAATGTAGAATAATCAGAGTGAACGAACTAACCAAGTCCTTTTGCTGTCCCTCTGTCGTAGGTGCCACCTTCACTATTATCGAACGTTTTTCTGTGACCTTTCTGCCGCCCTCATCGCGTGTGAACTCAACTGTAGAACGATGCATGTCGCTCGTATAATTGTCACCTTTGTTAGTCGCGGGCTTGGTTGTCATCTCGGTTATTTCAATGCTATCATCGTTCTCCGAATTCTTCAAAACTCGCTGAATAAATTCAGCGTTCAGCCAGTCTGGTGCCACCAATTCCATTTTCTAATCGATCGGGGTGTGCAATAGTCACACGTTCACCTCTGAATTTACGCGAAAAAAATTACAGATTTAATGCATTTGTCGGGGATATGTAAACCAGTTAATCGCTTACTTCTGATGTTTTTAATGGTCTCCAAGTAATTATCGGAGGCCTTGTCAATATTGAAGGTGACAGCCTTTTGATGTTTCCGGGGATGCAGCGACTCTTACTTATAGTCTGTCGAGGAACTCCGTAATTTACAGACATCTCGTGTGCTGTTGAAAATGTGAATTACGTAACTGCTTATGAATTCGAATCTATCGTGCATCCAACCGTCTGCCTTAATAGCAGTGCTAGAAGATAATATCTGCACTGTCACTTAAATGCTATTGCGCTAGTCTTGTTGCCGATAAGATTTATCTGGCTGTCGTTGTTAGCAGGAAAAATGTGGTCAGAGATCCATTTCTTCATGTTACTGGGGAAATTTTGTCGACGGAAACTGAAAACAACAGGGTTTTTAAGAAATACCATGTGAAGTGTTATTGCCCTCTCGATGATTCGAATTTATCGATGCACTTCAGATTTTAGGGGAAAATATCAATCCTGTAAGTACGTTTCACATGTACTTGGGATAATGGATCCCCTCATGTCATCCATAACGACAGCAGCTGTTTATAACACTTTCATTGATTTTTTCAGAGTTAACTTTATTAACGCTCCATCAGTTTTAAATTGGTCGTTATCGTTATACTATTGGAGGACTGCGGGGGTAATCGAGCGTGAATCGCTTTTGATGGAGTAAAATAGGTGAAAAAGGGAATTTGGAAAAACTGAAAAATTCTCGATTACTACTCGACGGGATAATAGCCGTAATTATTGGGAAATTGCCGTGTCATTGCAAAATATACGTACCCATAATTCATGTCGTACAATGTACGCGGATACAAATTTTTTATAAACGTCTTTGTGCTGGGATGCGACGAGGAATCTTAAAAATATAAAAAAAAACTCATATTTTATTCAGTATAAATCGAATTTTTATTGAATTCGAGAACACATGAAAAATTATCTGATACGATGAAAAAATATCTTTCTCTGGGTTCCATTGAAATCTTTCAATTCTCGTTCAAAATTTTATTAATTCTCTCTTTTTATCGGAATTTAGAAAATCTTCTACGCAATTGCAATTTAATGGAGCTGATGTACATTGTCGTCGAGACGGTAGGCTATTGCCTGGAGCTATTTAAAAATTAAATCAAAGAAAAAAAATTATTGAATAATAATCAATCGGGTAACTACTGTACAATTAACGGGATATCATACATTATGCGTTGGAATAATATCATCTCTTCTGTCATCTCATTTTTTTCGCCGGAGAAATACCTCAGGCGTTAATGCCTCTCAATTTTTCTTACCCACAACATGGAGATTTTTTTTTCCTTTTTCCATGTCACCTCGTGCCCGCCCAGTTCAGCCCCCAGAGGGCATGAAAAGTATGGAAATTCTCACCATCAAAACTCTCGCGAGTCAATTCGTGGCAAAAAGAAATGTGAAATAATAAAAAATCGTATCGCATTCACACGTTGGGAATAAATCTTTCGGCTTTCCCAACACGTCGCCCAGGTGAACTCGAAGGAACACGTTTTCATTCTCAGCATGTAGTGCACCAGACGAGTCCACGGTTTTACTCCCCAGTTTTTCCGTGAGATAAAAGTGATAGAGAGACAAGATGCAGGCAAATGTGAGGAAGAGAAATGCGAAAAAACATATAATGAGATGACAAGACAAATATTATTCACATGGAAATATGTAATTATACTTAATATCGCAGTATCCTTTGTCATAATTTGTTGCATAATGAGAATTCATTGAATAGTTTCCACTGAGCTCGCCCTCATGCTTTCATAAATAGCTTATCATAATACGTTAAATAATCCTCTCAAGGGTTTTCGAGCACGAGTATTTCTACTCATGCGCGTTTGAAGAATGAAACTCACGAAATTAATCCTGGTAATTTACATTTGTTAATGTTCACTATCATATCGTATCAGATAACCCATTTAATTGATGGCGTTCTCTTATTTTTTATGAGAAAGCGTTCTGATACATTTTCTCATATTTTGTACGAATCCTACCGAATTCATTTTACAATCCATCGTAATTGAAAAATTCCTGGATTTCCATGTGAAATGTGAATTACTCCGAGAACTTGTGAAGTGTATCTCGGATTCTGCGCAGCACTCATCGTTTTTTTTTTTCCGTTGATTATTCACATCGGCTAACTGAATTTATAATTTTCCTCAGACCTTGCGTCATTGACTTTTTCTGACGCATCTGTATCAGCAGCACGTATTCACGCTTGGTACTTGCGAGTATGACTCATTTGGGATAATTCAGGAGGTGAGGGGAAGGGTCCTCATGTACGATATTTCCAGGGTAAATGGTAAGTGTAAGAGAATCCCCTAAAATTATTCCCAGGGCACCTTATCCTCAGCAGTTTCGGTGATGAAACTAAACTAGCTTCATGACTCGTGGAATTTTTTTAATTTCCAGGAACAATTACATCAGAGTTCTTAATGGTATGAGTTTTAATTCCATTCTAGATGACGACGTGAAATTCAAATAAATTATGATTTTTTAATTCGAGTGATCGTATTGCAGAGACTGTCAAAATAATTACTGGTGCTGTCTCAAACCCATCTACTCTAATTTCCTGATTCTCTGGTTTAATCTCTTCAATGTACTCTCCTAAAATCCTTTTATCACCCCAAATATCGTCTGGTCTCTTTAAAAGCTACCCGGGAGTGCATTGAATCTTGCGCCCTTCGGGCTTGTGATTCAAGTATCTGGCGTTCTCTTTGCACAAAATTTTCGATGGCTTTGGCAATAGAAACAGCGTCCTGTGAATGACTCCAGGTGGATCTTGATTTTGCTCGATATCCGGATCCCCGGTGAAATGATAAGAGAAAAGGGGACAGGAGAGTGCGAAATTAACGAAAAAAAAAAAAATAAAATAGACGAGGAGAAAGAGGAGAATCCGATCATCCCTTTTACTTATCCGTAAGTGCTATTGTCCAGGCCGCACGTTCCAGATTGCACCCTCGAGTTCTCGCCATTAATCGATTCTGGATTCAGCCTCTCTGGTCGTCGATTTCAAACGCCCGCCAATACCGTTGTCCGTTTATTCTTTTTATCTACAGCATTACTGTAGTTTCATTTTAGCCCGTGAAATTCCACTCTGGGGATTTAAATTCCCTCCCTCTGCGATTCTTTTGGTAATTAAATTTATGGTATTTGATTTCACTCGGTGATGTTCCATTTGAATCTCCATGCCATGGTAAATGAAAATCAAGTGTTTGATGTTCTTCCACAAAGAGTAGATAATTGACAAAGCATTACTGGCAAATAACTGTTTCATTAATGGTGAAAATAGATAAACCAATGTCATATTTTCATTGAATTAGTCAGTGCTTACTGATGCCACACTATTCTCACAGAATATATTGATTTAATATTAACCACAGCAATCGTCGAACCGAATTCGGTTTAAAGTAGCCATTAATTATACCCAATCAACGGCTTTATCATTTTTATTCTGCACCCAAACATCGGGTTTATTCCTGATAAGGATTATTTGTTCTGCAGTTTCAATTCGTATAGGGGAGGACAGACTAATATAGACATATTTTTATTTTAATTGATGCAGCAGTAATTAACATTGTCGTCTGTCTCTCTGCAATTATTTTTGTCAGACATAAAAAGGCTTATCGTCATGATTTTTTTTAAGAGTTTGCAACGCCGAATTCTTTAACATCCTTTATATTAGGGCTTTCAGGAGGGGCTGGAATATCTCATGTGAAAAGAGAGGCGAATAATTTGTTTGCCTCTGTGGGGATTAAGGATAAGTTCAGACATCGCGAATGGACGATTCATTCTTGGTCGTTTGTGGATGGACATGGAGCATACGTCACGTCTCTCTCTGAGCCATGTATATATCAAGGACGTTCCTAGCTACCACAAGATCTTCATTCTACTTCCCTCTCTTTTTAATGTTTCATTGTGCAACGAGGACCACAAGCCGCAGATAGTCCCTCTCTGACGTCTGCAAATTGTTGCGAAATAAAATCCAGAAAATTGCTTTCCAAATGAACAATTTGTTGGATAATTGAAACTCTCCAGAATTCATTTATATCGAATGAAAATTGACAATTTTACACGTCCGATTAATGGGATTCCTATAATCAACAGCAATTCATTTCACGTAATGAGAAAAAAAAATTGGTATTCAAAAAAAAAATGTAGGAATGATGAAAAAAATAAGGTGTTCACCAAAAACGCATGGCCTTCATGAAATAAATATATGTAGTAGTAATTATCTGTGACATATTGCATTTTTCGTCGTAAATATATTTATCGTGAGGAATTTGAATTGAATTTCGGAAAAAATTCGCTGATTTTGGTACAGTAGTCCTGATAACATCCTTTCGCACATGCGTGCAGAATTTTTATGATTGTTTTTTTCCCAAAGGTTTGCCGGGTCGCAATCCAACCTAACGATGTTCCTCCCCTACATAATTGAATCAAGCTCAAATTGAATAACCGAAACTCGCACAAATAATATTTATAAAGCATACATACCCGCAGTGCTCCCATAGTAACTCAAACGTGTGTATGAGAAATTCGTTAATAAATTTTGAATTTTGCCTCGTAACTCTAGTTACGCGTACAAAGTTATGTGGAAAGCGGAAATGGCAAAGACACTTGACTCACAGTTACAAGAGAGCTGGTTAGAGCGAGAGGGTTGAAGTTTTAACAGCGGGATTTCAAACGAACAGCGAAGTGGGTTGGTGGGTGGCAGAGGGTGAGTATATGTAGGAAAACTCGAGCGATGCTAACAATGAAAGGCGATGTAACTGAAACACCCTTTGCTCTCGTCCCCTCTTTTGGTCCTCTGTGACGTTTCCGACTCGCCAGTTTTCCCCCGAGCTTCCATTTAAGCGGAGAAACTATTGTACGAGCTCGAGGGGAAAAGGATAACATTTCAGGTGACAAGTGACCGTAAAGTAGATCCTCGAAATACCTGTAGCATAATAAAAATAAAAATGGCAAGGCTATTGCGTCACGGTGATGCATGAAATATTTTAGAAAAATGTAGAAATAGAAAAAAAAAATTGATTCCCCTGTTCGAAGATCTTAGATCATGTTCCTTGGAGTCTTCTGAAAAGGGACTTTTTATTATTTCGCTGTTTTCCCTGTCTTTGAGGAATTTATTATTTATTTATTATCTCCTTAATTAAACAAATCCACACAATAATTACTCCCTCTCATCAAAGATTCAAAATGAGGGTCTCAGGTTGTCGGTGAAAGGTCGCATTTTAAAAAATTCCATTTTTTCTTTCACTCAAACGAGATGATATCCGTCGATGAAATTGCGTATTTACTGTTGAAGAGTACTGAGGAAAGCAGGCACGTTGTATACCGAGAGAAGATTCAGATTAGATTCTCTGTAACATACTTACGATATTATAATTATGCAGGGAGCTCATCGCTACTGCTTTTGAGCAACTAACACTTTGTAGTGTACTCTATGAAGCACTTCATTAGAGTTAATTAAGGTATGCGCTTTCATCAATATCAATAATGAAGGCTTTGTTTTAGTCGAGTTACGCAATCACAAGATGTTATCAACGAGATGGTTGAAATGTTGGGAAATCAATAGAACAACTTTTCTGATCACTTCTTAGATCAACTTTGGGATTAATAAACTTTGATGTTCGTCATGTTGAATGAATTTGTATCTCCAGGGAGTGGAATTCCTAGAAGCTCAAGGTAAACGTTTCTGGATGGAGTGTTGGGAACATGGGAGGTGTGTTATACTCAACTCAACCTCTGGTAGATAAACTCCACTCACGACTGATTGACATCGTTGAAGTGAACTCGACTAATCAATGGAAGTCAATAATAGTTACCAGAACAATAATGCTCACAGCAGAGTGCATCTTACGGGCGCATCCTGGTACCAATGATTTCTCTTTCATTCGCGAATTGCCCGGTAGTTTTCGCACAGTTGGTATACCGTGGATCGTAAATAATTTCACGATGCCTGGACAACCGTAAAAATTTACGTCCGGACGTGGCACTCCCACCTCCATCCTATATTCTCAGCAAGTACAAGAGTAGCAGGGATCAGTTGGACAGAACTGGCCAACTGGTCTTGGATACCACTGTCAAAATTTTTGTTTTACGTACCGTCGGTTCTCTACTTTATTTTTTCAAATTAATTGGTGCACCGGGTTTTTAAATTCTCCGGGCATGACAGGATAGAAATATGTCACTTGCATAACTGGCAAAATTCAATTCGAGGGAAAACTGTTTTTCTAATCAAGAAAAATACCGGAAATGCCGGACGATGTTTCCGCAAAATGCATAATCGTCAACTTTGTTCGACATTCCAGCTCCGACTACCACGCGCTTCGTTACGTTTTTTCACAAAATATTTGCGAGGGATTGAAAAAAAGAGGGCACTCTCTCGAGAAGTTTTTCAGCTCTTTCATTTCACATCCATTCACTTGCCTCTGCCTCGGGTTTTTTTTTTTCTATTTTTCAGCTTACGGTCTCACGGCAGCAGCAGGAAATTGGCGGCAGAATATGCAAACAGAAACGGCCATCATTTGATTCGTTCCAGCCTTGGCAAAGTTTGTCAGATAATTAGGAAACGCGACACACGATGGGATTAAATTCCCACTCCACTCTACCTCCTTTCCCCCCAAAGTTGCATTTTACCGATATCGTGCCCGGGCAAAGCTTAATGCTTTAATCTGTTCGTTGGGTAACTTGCGTTGACCGAGATTTTTAGACCCTAAAACTAGCGTAGACACCGGGTGGAATAGTTTCCATGAAGGGAATCGTGCGTTGAATAATAATTATCACCACCCAACAACGAATATGGTGAAAATGTTCATTCGCGTGAATCTTAATCCAACACATGTCCACAGCCGACGATTCTCCCCATCATTTTAATTTTACACCCGATATTCTAAAATAATCTCCGACGATCTTGGAAATAGCGAATTTTTTCCAATGCAGATAATCATCACTTTGGAAAAAATAATCAACGAGAGATGAAATCCCAAGTCTATGCGTAAACAGCTAATTTCCTTTCATCCCGGGAACGGGAATAAAACCCATGAAAAATCCTAAAGAATGAGGAACAAAGGGAATAAGAAAATCATCAGAGTTATCTCCCACCCCCTTTCATCCTAAATTCTTCAAAGAGCCCTGGAATTACCAGATGTAGTACTGAAAGGGGCAGTGACTCGGATAGTTTTTCAACCCCGGAGATAAACCTAGTCCACCCTCACGCAATGTATACACCAGAATGAAATTATCACTGACCTAGCCTTTTTACTTATGTTATCGTCCATTTGCCCCTGTCCCTCTTCA